TCTTTGTTGACGAGCTTTTAGACAAACTAGAGTTTGCTAAGGCTTTCCCGGGTCCTGGAGCCGGTTACGACGAGTTTGCAAATCCTGAGAGATTAGACTTAGAATTGCATCTGTAACTTTCCTCATGTAATCTAAGTTGCATTCATGTTGAAATAATATCGTCCTTGAACATTACGAGTTAGTCATAAATATTATTCTAAGCTGTATGGTCAGTGCAGCTACATTTTCTTCATTCTTCAGTCTTTCACTGTTGGTGTTACTGTTTTACGTCTCGTTCTGTATTGTCACCATGTCGCGATCTTTTACGTCAATCGATTTGTCTTGTTAGCATCACTTTACTTCACTTATTCAATCAGGTTACATCGACGTTTTTGACGATAAGCAATTAAGTCATTAATTGCTTCATGAAAGGCATCAGTTTATTCAACAAGGTTGAGCTGTCTATAGCTTCTAACAAACAGGTTCTTCAAACAAATCATTTATACGTAGTGAAGGGTAGCGATTCTTGATTGTCAGTTTGTCCATCTTTCATAACAGGGATTTGACAGTATCCTGACCGTAAGTCAATCTTAGAGAACACAATGGATCCTCTAAGCTAATCAAACAAGTCATCGATACGAGGTAAAGGATAACGGATTGTTCAATTGACAGTAATTGTTACAGAATCTCATCGATTCATGTATAAATAGAACGGGTATTCTCCTAAGGAGGAAATACTTGGTGAAATGTTTCTTTGTCAGTCAATCTTTATAGTCGAGTATTCAGTTTGACATAAACATATTTAATGCAGAGTTACGAATATTGGTCCTCTTTGGGATCAAGATTGGTAGAGAAATTCCATTTCTCGGAACGGTGAAATATTAGGAAGTTCATATCAGAGAGGTGACATACTTTCGGTATGTTCCTTTAGTTCAGATCTTTCTTTTGCGTATCACACGAATAGACTTCACGCTTCTTATTGTTGAGACATTTCTGCATATATATTCGAGATGAACTCGGTCGGTTTAAAAATTAGCTTTGCTTTCACCTCTTATGATGTTACCATCATTGGCCTTCAGTTGAGGAATTCTTCATCACAAGTTGTCAACAACAACGACGTTCAGTCAGTCAGTGCATACTAAGGATAATGTCGATTTCCTTGTATGGTACTTCAACGAGGTTTTGTAAGGAATTGTCGTTTAACGAACGATTTCAATTCATAAGATGTAATCACATCTTTGCGTCGTAAAGAGTTAGACATCAGAACGGGATACTTTAGATAACAGAGTTTATTGATTCTAAACGTTCGTGTTTAAATCAACGAACAGATCATCTTCAGTCCACATGAGGATCTTTGACATCGGCTTCACAGATGTTGTTCAACATTATTCGTTTCTTCAGAGTCATCTCACTTCCATGCGACTTTACGAGGCAGATCAGTTTCGTAATTCGCGATGCGATGCGTACGTTAATAATGGATCAGAGGGTCATATATTTTTCGTTTATTCTTTCGTCTCTTCACCGAGTACGAAAATTTCTACTTGAGTCTACGCTCGATATAATTTTAGAACTAACAATTTTTATTTAATGAGAATTCTAACAAAGTCAATATTTACCAAGTAAATTCTCGTACCTTTCTTGGAGCAGAGGGATGCGAGAGTCGTAGATGTGATTGACATTTTATTATTATTTTTTTTAAAAAATCAAATTTCGATCCGAATATCGGTTTTAAAACCATATGCTCCGATACCAAAATGTAACACCCTAATCCGTCCAGGTCTGCAGCCCCTTTCGGACTAAAGTATTAACTTGGTAATCGTAAAATTTAAAACTTTTCAAACACTTTTATTTATCACGATAATATTTTTCATAACATATATAGTGCGGAGTTTTCAATATTGCGGAAACTTAACAAATCATAATTACAAACATAATTTATTTATGTTCTTTAATTCAAAACCATCACATCCATTCCAACAATCTCGCCTCCGTCTGCCTCCAGAATCATGTAACATCATTCTTTCTATTAACCTGGTGTAGCAAATAAAACATACTACGCGCTCAGCGGTGAAGCTGAGTAAGCATATCTAAAGCGTCGAACATCCATATAAATTGAATCCAAATTCATAATCAAATCATTTGATATCATGCACAAAATGTTCATTTAAGACATTCACAGTTTTGGTATTGTTCAGTTCATATCAACACATTTTATTCAATTCAGATACTATTTCAATAGTGCTCTTAAATTATTCTTAATCTAAGGCCAGATCATAACAACGCTCTTAGCTATTCTTAGTCTAAGGCCAGATCATAATAATGCTCTTAGCTATTCTTAGTCTAAGGCCAAATCATAATTTCCATAATCACATTCTTAAAAGGAAATTATTAATCAGACACTTAAACTATCATTAGTTTAAG